TGGGTTGTGCTATGGGACGTGCCTGGAACATGGTGGGACAGTGTCCTCCGCTTGTCTTTCTAGATACCTGCTCTTCCAGCTGGCAGAAGACATCACCCAAGACGAGCTGAATTCTTTCAAGTTTCTTTTGGGAAAAGAATTGCCAAAATGCAGGCAAAATCCAGAGACTGTAGCTGTAAGACTTACTTTAATCCTTTTTTTTTTTTTTAATGCTTATTATAATCTCTAGAGGCATTAGGGTTGTTATGAGGGGAATGAATATCACTCTTGTTATAGTATTACTCTTATGGTGTCTTCACCGTAAGAAAAAGGGTGCACCTGCAAAGGGATTATGTGCCCTCTGGTGCACATGGGACTTGTCTGTGCTTGTGTTAGTGTAGCTCCTGCAGCAGTGTCACAGCCCAGGGAGCGTGGCCAGCTCTGTGCCAGGCACAGAGGCCTTCTCGTGGTGTCCAAGCACCATCCAAGCACTTAGGGGACTCGGTGGCTTTGATCAATGGAATACTGATGTCAATGAACCCATTTTTTCCATTGCTCAAGATGGTCACTGCAGTGGTTCTTGTGTTTCAGTTAAATGCACAAAGTAGCCGCTGGAAGTCCAATGAAGGAAAGCAGTCATTAAAAATGATATTATATATTCCTGTGTGATCACCATTAGATCTCCTGGATTAGATCCTATTAGATCTTGGCACCTCTGAGCTGCAGAAGGGAAGTGAGTATGTTTTGAGATGATGGTTGTACTTTCAGAACTTTTAGGTTTTGTTGAACTAGGTGTAACTGACTCGGCTGAGGTCTCAGTGCCACCAGTGAGCAGGACTGACTCTGGGTAGCACATGTACAGTAAAGCTGAGATGCACATGCTGCAACTTTCCTCCCAGCCCTAAGAGCAAACTGCCTTTCTGATTACCTAGACAATGCTCGACGTTTTCATTGACATGGAGAAGAAGGGGATTTTGGGAGAAGATAACCTAAGTATTCTGAAGCAGCTCTGTGAAGAAATTAACATCAGCCTGTTGAAGAGAATTGAAGAGTATGAATTAAACCTATTTGGTAAAACAACACAGAACAAAAAGACTTCTTTCCCACAGTTTATTCTTGAAGTGACACATAGCTATCACTAATATGAATGTTTTTCAGGTGAAGAAGAGATGCTCATTACAGAGGAACAAAGCAGCAGCACAGGAGGCCCTGAAGGTAATTGAAAACTCTTTAAAAAAAAAAAATCAATGTTTAGCTTTTTAGCTCTGCCTCTGCTTTTGGACTATGTACACCACTTGCATCTCACTTGATTACACAGGTGCCTCTCTAAAAAGTGGTTTATCCATCTGCTTACTAGCTGATCAGAATACATTTTATTCCCTTTTAATTTAGAGTGGTGTATAGCTAACAGAAACAGCCACTCAACCTCAGTTCAGAGTTTCAAGAGAGCAGTTTTACCCCAGGTGGTACTTGTAGAGACACAGAATAGGCACAGAGCTTCTCTCCTTTCTCTAGCACTACAATCTATACTTAAAATTTTTGTCTGTATTCAGCCCATGCCAGGTTGCTGATGTCATCTGTAGCACTTGAGTCTCCTGGCAGCTGGAATGAATCTTCCAAGGTAAGTCAGTTTGTTTCTTAGAAACATCATCATGTTGTCTTAGAAGATCATCCCTCCACGAGGTGACCAGTTACTGTAGCACTGCCTAGAACAATAAAAATGCATTGCTCTGTAACATCCTTTTTTCTGAAGCTGAGTCACAGGCAGCAGCTGCTGCCATGTTAAAACTTCAGAATTTATTTGCATGGGTAGCAAGATGGGATGGGTTCTTTTACACCAGGAAACACACAGATGCTTGGGCATGGAGAAGGGGGCGAACCCACCCCCAGTGTGGGCTGGGCACGATGCTGTGGGGCTGGGGGCTGCTGTGGTGCTGTGCACAGACCCCCGCGGGCAGTGGGGTGGGCAGTGCTCTGCCAGGAGCTGGGAGCACTGCCCGAGAGACAGCCTTACCCTGTGGGGCACTGCTGAGGGCTGAGAAGCACCTGCAGGACAGTGCAGCAGCTGCACCAGTAGTCTTTCTTTTTGGCAGCTCGAAGCTTACAAGATGACCAGCCGGCCTCTGGGAGTGTGCCTGATCCTGAACAATCATGATTTTGCAAAGGCCAGGCAAGCAGTGCCAGAGCTCAAAAAGATGAAGGATCGGAACGGGACAGACGTGGATGCAGGTACAGTGTATATTAAAGAGGAGTCTGTGTATCTTCAAAAATAGAATCCTCATTTCTTTCTCTGTACCAGAAGTTTGAATTTTAATCTTCCTGTTGTAGGATACTTTTGTTGTGTTGGCCGAGTCAGCTGTTCCCCATGTTGACAAACCCTAGTCAACTCATGGAACTTTTACTGGCTGGCTCAGAACAATTCACTGGCATTTTGCTGTTTTACTGGGTTTACTGCAACTTTAAGCAGCAGCCTCAGCCTGGACTTCACAAGCTAGGCTAGTTTTGTATCAGCCTTATGCATGCTACTTCTAAAATATGCTGC